TCGACATAGGTCCAGATGCGAACATCTGCGGTCTCTGGGCGGGGACGAACAAAGCTGTCAATCGTCCCATTCATTGCTGTGGCTGCTAGTGCTGGTGCGTTGCGGTAACCTTGTGGACAAACCTTCCAGGAAAACATTTGTCTGCCTATGCACATATTAAGGATCCCTTGCGGGTCATTTATAGGGATCGAATAAAACATGTCCTTTAAGTCTAGTGTGGTGGCAAACCACTCTCCGCCCCTCTGCATCTCGGTTATGCCATCGAGGATGTCTGTAACGGTTTGTGCGGCGGACATTTGGAACGGGTTACAGCGACGATTAGCTTGTCGGTAGTCCACCACTAGGCGAGCTTCCATTGGTTTTCCCGGTTTGGGGATGCCCCATCTGGCCAAAAGGTAGGTGGAGGATTTTTCGGGCTGAATGCATCCTCGCTTGCACAGGTCAGCCAAGAGGTTTCAAATCTGAGGCTGCAGGTCAGTGTGCGTCAGGATTGGCTGATACCGCCAGGGTGTAGGGTTTGTTAGCATTGGCTGGTGTTTTTCGCCTAGCGCCACAGTCAACGGGAGTGCTAAGTATATGGCGTTCTTTAAGGCCAACGCTTTTATTGCGGGGATGCCCAAGATGTTTATGCCCCCTAAGACTCCATACAGGGCCCTTTTTTTGATCCAAAACTTGACCACGGGCGCAGATGTCATGGCATTTAGCCCTTGTACAAAGATGACTTTGGATGTCTTGACATGGGGCGTTTTGGGTTTCAACACGTTTACTTGGGCCCCCGTATCTAGCAAAAAGCGTATGGGGGTAGGGGTAGAATTTGCAGTTGCGCTCACACTATAGGTTGCGTGCGGGCGTTCGTCATTGGGGGGTCAGCCGTCGCTGCCCGCGTCGACGGCCGCTACTCGTTTTTTCCTCTATCCGGCTCCTGCCCGCTAGGCTTAAAGCCTAAGTTCAGCGCCAGTGTTCTTTGCCCCTCATCTCCTAACCCACGAAGCTGATTCTTTGTCAGGCCGCTTTTGCTTAGCAGAAAGCCAAACATGGCGCGTTCCTCAGGTGTGCGGTCCGGTGGTCGTCCGCATGGCGAGCAGTCAGTTCGGGGATTTCTAGGCGGTGCTTTCCACGCTCCCACTGCCTGTACTGCCGCTGGCGGGGTGAGCTTGGGTTCTGTTTTTCGCACTGTGGTAAGCTTTCCCAGGCTACTTAGGACGTTCCCTGTCGGCCCCCCTACCAGTGGGTGTAATAACAAGTGGAACATGGGTGTATTCGTACCTCCGTAAATTTCAACGCAGGCCTCTACTGCTGATGCAGACACAGGGACCTTGCCAGGAT